GAGCTCAGCAAGTAACATAACAGTAAAGAGGTTAGTGAACGAAGTCCGACATTTTCATAAATCCAAAATAAATCAATCATAAACATATATCAGTCATCAGTCATCATAAGAACATACGTAATGGCATACTCCACAGAACCTTTTATAACAGTCTATCAGTCAACAGCCTACGAGATCTCATAACTAGTCATGGGCTTGTCCTTCCATGCCGTTCCCCATGACTCATGACGCATGGGCCTGCATGTTCCCGCCCCCATGACCCAACTATCTATGGATGCCATACTAGATTCGCAAATCAGGACATTCATTCACGGAAAACATTCTCATTTCAAAGCATAGCATAACGTAATACATTTAAAACATAGTTCATAATAACATATCTTTACAGAAATGTTAATGCTTGTGCCGTCTCCTCTAAAACAAAAAAATCCTTCCTCCCTTTCTATGTGGATGCAAGAGAGGAGACATGGGGATGGAGAGGGAATTTGGATTTGGAAAGAGCCTTCTTTCCTTTACTTCATTTCATGTTCATTCTAATCTTTCTTTACTTTGATTCATACTCATTTTCATGTTCATAAGATGATAAATGATGCAATTAACATGTTAAAATCAAGTCTGCAACTTTCCCAAAGTTTTCTTGAAAAAGGTCGTCCCGCTCGAGCGCCACTTTGGCCGCTCGAGCGTACTGTAAAAAGTCCCAAAACTGCTAGGAGGCTGTTTCCACCGCTCGAGCGGGCTTCCCTCCGCTCGAGCGGACAGAGCAAGATCCGAATTTCTGGTTCTTCTTCCAAGCTTCATTCTCCTCTTTACAAAATCACTTTCCACATTTATGAAATCTAAGACCCAAAATACTTAAACCCCATCTTAAATTAACATCAAAACTTCAAACCAAAACCCATATGGGGACAATAGAAGATCAAATCTTGGAGTAAAATAGAGAATCGTAAACTTGAGCATAAAAGCTTCATTTCGAAACATCCATGGAGGTTTCCTTCAACAATGCCAATTAACCATAAATCATACCATTTTAAAGCCATGATCTTGTATTCAACATGCTAAATACCACGAATCAACAATCAATTTCATGGGAATCTTACCTTAACCGCTTAGTTTGGAGAAGATTTGAGTTTAATCCCCTTTTCTCTTCTTCTTTCCCTTTCCTTTCTCTTTTCCCCGAATTCTCTCTCTTTCTCTCCCCAGATATTCTCTTTTTCTTTAGTTTGAGTCAAATGAGTCAAAACATCCATCCTTATCTATTATAGAACAAAATAAACCATTATGCTCAAAACACTTAAGCCAAACATGACTTACGAATCAGACGAAATTCAGTCCTTAATTTATTTCCTCAAATGGTTCTAAAAATTCCCAGTATCACATAGGTGTGTTCAATTTCATTTTCCGAACCCATTACGGTCATCAATTTCAATCCCGAAGTCGTAATCTCAACAGGTATTTTCTAAGTTCAACAGATAATCTTCAATTAAATCATACTAACACATAATTAATTACTGGTAATCATGGTATACGGTTCTGGGTCGTTACACATTCTGTAGTTTGTTGCAGTGCAGAAATATATGATATATATACCATCAGATATATATACTGTCTATTAATATATATTCTTAAGTATATATGTAGTGTGGAAATATATGACATATATATATATCCATATATATATATATACTGTCTATTAATACACATGCATAAGTACATATGTAGTGCAGAAATATATGATATATATACCCTCAGCTTCTAAACAGGTATGTTAATAAGAGGCAGAGGATGAGCAGGGTATATCCTTCATACAATTACAAAGTCACTTTATATTATGTACTTCGAATTACAATTACATATAAAATAGGCAATAATGCCACAATTTCAGAATAAAAAATTTAGAAAAGTTTTAGAATTTCAAATTAATGATTAAGATTCATTTAGCCTTTATTTGGGATGAATTTTTTTAATTTGATTTTTTGATGGCAACAGAGTTTATTTATTGTGCGTTTGTGATGTATTTGCAATTTATCTCTTAGTCATACCAAAACAAGCATAGTTGCACAGAGATATAATGATTTAATGTTTTGGTTAATGGGTGTGAATTATGATTGTTGCATATGGAATGAGTACAGGAACTTGGAATAGATAATAAATATAAAAGGGTTGTGTTCAGAAATGGAAAATGAAGTTTGTAATGTGGTTTAGTTTAGTACAAATGTGAATTGTCTGATTATATTTGATTTACTTTGTCTTATTGTCTTGCAAATGTTGTGGTTATGATTTGGCAGATTGAAATTTAAATGTGCACTTTGATTCAAGGGTTGTTTAGAAATGTAACTAATACATAGCTTAGCATCAAACACAACACATAGCTTTCCTTGAATGAAAAAAGTTTGTTCTAAGATCTCAGTTCTATGTAGGTTCTGCAAGCTTGCGTCGATTTGAAGGCTTGAGAGCTCTTTGCGAGATTTTGACTGACATTTCAACGAAACCCTTGAGAAGAAGATGTGATGTGTTGTTTTGTTCTGTAGGTAGATATAACTCCAATTTACAATCTGTTCATTGAATAGTTGAATGCTACAAGTAATGTTTATGGCACTAGCCTTATAAATTGGAAATAATACTTTTGAAATCTCTATCAATTTATGATATACAATCCATATATTACGTACTAATGAATTAGAGCATGGTATTTGTTTGTCATTGAAATATCTTTTGACTAAGATTCTTTGAATGTGATGAGCATTTTTCTTCTTTATTTTGTTTGGTTGAATTTTAATTGGAGATAAACAGATGGTCTGATGATATGTTTGATATTTTATGTTTGGTTGTTAAGAAATCAAAAAAAGGAATGTAAGCTGATATTCAAACTAGTATTTTTAGAGTAATTGTTACAAAATCAAAAAGCTACAAAAAAAAAAAATTATCAAACTTTTAGAGACCAATTTTAGTTGTCTCAAAAAAATTATAACATTTACAGACCACGCAAAACTAAAACTTTTAGCCACCACTTTCACTGGTCCCAAAAACTAAAACTTTTAGAGACTAAGGCCTTGTTTGGGAACAGGCTTTTTTAGTAACTTTTTGACTTTTTGGTTAAAATATGATGTAAAAAAAACTAATATGTTTAGGATGACTTTTTGACTTTTTACGAAAAAATGTGTAAAAGGTAGAGAGAAAAGGAAATCTTTGACTTTTTTGTATAAGTTGTTAGCTTTTTGATTTTTTTAGTGACATTTTTATTTTTTGGCTAAAATAGCCACTTGCCAAACAAGGCCTAATTTGTGCCGTCTCAAAAATTATTTTTTTGTCTCCATAATTGCTTCTTTTGCCCTGGACTATTATTAGACTTTTAGAGACAAATTTTGGTTGTCTCAAAATTCAAACTTTTTGCAACTACATATTTTTGTCTCTAAAAATCTATTTATAGTGACAAATGCAAAATTTGGTCTTTAAAAGTCATTTTTTGACTTTTCTGGACGAGCCATTTGTGACAAATTTCGGGACAGAGAAAATTAATTGGTTGAAGTTTTTCCTAACAAATATTACACTTTTAAAGATGAAATAAATTTGTCTCTAAAAAACTGATTTCTTGAGTGCTTCTAACTTCTAATTTATTAAAAAAAAAAAAAAAAACCACACCAAATAAGCTCAACACGTATAGGCATTAATCAGAGGCTTTAATAGTAGCTGCCACATGAAAAGTGCTTGTATGGCACTTGTTTTTTTTTTTTTTTTTTAAATTTATTTTATTTTTATCTTTTTTAAACTGAAAAATGATGAGGCAAGTCAATTGAGATTAAAAAATTTGGTAAATGTTGTGATCAGTTTGTATATCATTTCTCCTTTCATCATTTTGTTTACTAACATAGTACTTAGATATGTCATAGAAACACACCAATCTAATGAGTGATTTGTCAACCTTTCCAAAGAGTGAAAATTGAGTGGTGGCATGGTCAAAAACTGTGCTGTAATTGCATGCAGAGATAGTTAATTAACAGAATACTCTTGCACCATCCCCCCTTTCTCCCCTTTTATAGTGCAATGTTACTATGTCCAAAATTACTGAAAAAAAAAAAAAAAAACACTCTTGACTAAGATCATAATCAACACTACTGTATTTGGCTCTTGTGTGAATTATTATTATTATTTTGTGATTGTATTGTTGCACAAAATGATTTTTTGTGATAAGAAGTATAATCATTGGCAAAATTATCATTTGTGACGAATCTCTCATCACAAATAAATTTTTCCACAAAATTTAATAAAGTTTCGATAGCAGTTAGCTGTCGCAAAAAAAAAAAAAAACCCTTTTTAGTAGTTAATTAATCTTTCTGCACTCATTTTATCTTAAATTTTGTGCAATAGTCCCTTTTTTTTCCCCTCTCTTTGTTTTCTAAATGGTGATGGGGCATGTAACAATGATTAGAAGATTCAATTCCCAAGTTTCTCATACTGCCAAAACTTTACCAACAAAGTTAGCTTGCACATTTTTATTTTTTCCGATCTCAATAGATAAGTAAGTTTAATGAAGTGAAAAAAAAAAAAAAAAATTGTATTCCACAATTTTACCAAGTGCTAGTTGTCATTGTTAATTTTTGCTCAAATTAAACTCTATAAGCTCAATGAAGTGACAAGAACTGTATAATGTAATCAACATTGCTAGGTATCATGAAAAGTCTTTCATGAAAATGATCATGAAATACTTGTGACCTTTAGATTATACTTAGAATTAAACACCACACACTAATCAAAATAATTTAAGGATCACAAATCTTTCATGATCATTTTCATGAAAGACTTTTCATGATCCCTAACATTTCTCTAATGTAATTATTTCACGTACGAAAACAAAAAAATTACATGGCACACCCATTTTGAACCCTAGCATGGAAACACAGTCCACATTTAATTATTAGATAATTGAAACTCAGCATTATTAAATTCTTAATATCAATCCTAATCATGATTACTTTCACTACCCTGTCCATTAATGGTGCCAAGGCACAGACCCCCACCGCACTCTTGTTTTCAAGTGCTTTCCCACTAAATAATGCTTAATACAGTGTGGCCTTAATCATCATCTATATAATGCAAACCCTAATAATCCCTTCTTTCATCAACTTTTCACAGCAATAAAAGCAGTAAGTTTTGTAAACCTACTTTTGGTTTTTGTAATTTTTTGATTGTGATGTAAGTTCCTAGTCTTGGTTTGTTAGCTTAATTATTTGAACTGATTTTTCTAACTACATATCTAAGCTTCTTTTAGGGTTGGCGATGAGCTACTTTTGATCATGAAGACCTCGCTACTACTCTTTGTAACCCTAGTTGTGGTCGTTGGAGCTTTGCAAGCTGCCAATGCAAAAAGGCTCACCAAGGCAGATCGCCAGCTTCTACGTGATGCAAATTGGAGCCGAAAGGTTAATGTTGGTTCCAGTGATAAGAGTACTATAGACGGAACCAAAGTAGCTGAAGAAAATACTGATAATACTAATGAGGATGCAGATAGCAGCGACGGTGATACAAACAATAGCTTTGGTAAACTCGGACATTCTGGTCCATCCACTGATACTCACCATGGTTACGATGTTGAGAATCGTCCAGAGTGCCCAAAAAAAGTGAGCCAAACTAGTAATCCGTGTCCCTAGCTAATGTTACCAGCAAACTTGATGGTGAATGGAATTTCTGTAAAAATGGTGTGAAATAATAAAGTGGAACCAACATGAAAAGTCTAGCCATGAAGTATGTAAGGCACCGACACATGAGAGTTTCACAAAATTGAAAGTGTCAGTTTGTATGTTGTGTGTTCCGTCTTTGTTGACGGATGTCATGGCTTATAGGCCGAGTATGCTTTGTATTATGTATAATTTTAAATAAAACAACCATGCATGTGTATGGTATGGTTTGTGTGCCTGTTTTTATGCTAGGTTTGCTTCATGAATGGTGTCATTTCTTGAAAGCTGCTAAGTATGCTTTTGTTTTATACATATCTTAAATAAAACAACCATGGCTGGCATGGTTTGTGCTTGCTTTTATGCTAGCTAAAAGGCTTACAGTGACAACTAGTCACTCTTATATTTGGTGAATTTCACTGTGGCTGAAACAAAGATTCAAGGATTTTCATTTCTCTGTACAAGACTTTTTGACCAATCTGAGGCAAATAAGATTGAGTTTGGGGAGTAGATCTGTTTTGGGCTGCTGATATTGATCTGGTTCTGTTTGGGTTCTGTTATGGGTTGCTGTTATGGGTTGCTGTTCTGGGATGTTGTTGATCTTTAACATTAAAGTTGCTCTGGGCTGCTGCTGGGATGGAGTTGGGGTTGTACATCTGTAATATGCAGGGCTGGTTGCATCTGTCATGGGATGGTTCTGTTCTTTGCCGGTATGGTTCTGTTCGGGGCTGCTTGTATGGTGTTAGGGGAGTTTAACTGTTCTATGCTTTCTTTTGGGTTGGTGCCTTACCAACTGTTCTCTGTCTTTTTATTGATTTTGTCAATGTTTTTTCTTGATTATTATCAATAAATTTCCTCTTTGGCTGTTTCAAAAAAAAATATTTGGTGAATTTCACAAACCCTAGCTCATATGTTGAGCTTGACAGAGAGAGAGAGATTAAAGTTTTTGCATGACAAGTTCTTCATCGCCCAGAACAAAATAACCACTTAGGATAATGAAACATCTTATATTTATCAAGAAGTACAAAATTGTATAAATACGATCTTCATATTGTATATCTTGATTAATTGGATTGTTTATTTATATGATCATCCTATATGAAACTTTTATAGATGTGTCTTCAAGCCTGAAGATCTCTCCCACCTTGATTTGCTAATGATGTTAGAATATTACATATAATTAATGACCATAAATGGAATCTTCAAAAGCTAAAAAAATCTTAATATCACAGACTTTCATAACCATATAAAGGAATTCAAGCTTCTTGGTTAGTCTATATCTTACCATTAATGGTCCCATACTAAAAATTAAATTATTTATTACCCAATGATATGGGTATTCAACTTTAGCAATAAGGCTAGGGTTCATTACAATCACAGTAATCCAAGACTGCTATATTAGCAAGTAAAGGTTATATAATTGGCTTCAGGAGTAAAAAATAAAGATTTGGGTGTTTTTCTACTCCAGCTGTATGACAGAAATTCTCATGTAGGGTTCTAAGAAATGGAGTCTTACCTATCTTAATAAAGATTATGATTGGTTCAAAGAACATCACTCTTGAAGAATTAATAATGTTGGTTATAACCATTAATTTTCCAATCATCCAAATAACTGAGCCCAATTCATATTTTCCTGATCTGTTAATTATTGATAATGAATTTGTAATGAATAAGTGATGAAATGATAGCTACAATTTATATCAATGCAAGCTCTGTGTGATGATCAATGATATATCATGACTAATTTCCTTATTCCAACAGCATAGATTTAGATTAGCTGCAGATCATCCATGGAATATAAACAATTTTTTTTTTTAGTCTACTCTGCTCTATTAAATAGACTCTTTTATCACCTAGAGCATATAATAATATTTTAAAATATTGATCAATAAACCTTGGCATATTATACCCGTGATAATGAAAATTTGCTTGCGGATTAGTTGGATTATTATACTTATCGGTTCATAGCTGATTCATGATTCATGACTGGTATGTCTACTATAAAACCCTATTTTTTGTGTGTGCGCATGCGCGGCTGATAGTTTTTAAAACGTCACAATTGTATCATTTCATGCATATATATATTTTTTTGATCGGCAAAAAAAGAATTTTATTGATGGAATAAATAAGTACAAAGTACAAAGCGAATTACATCAATAAAAAAAAGGAAGGTGCAAAAGCATCACAATGGGCAGAATCATTTCATACATATTAATTAATATTACCCAATAATATTATCCTGCAATCAATACCAATTTGTCTCCGAATGCCACTACTCAAAACCTTGAAATATAATCTATGGTTGATAATTACTAGAAATGTCAAGTGGTGATTCAGGTTGGTTAACTTACATCATCTTAATCATGGTGAATGTGTGTAATATATATATATATATACATATATGCTTGTTGTTGGAATGGTTTTGGTCAATATATGAGAGCTAATGCAAGAAGACTCAGACAACTTAGAAAGATCAGAACTAATTATCAAGTTCAAAAGTGCAAGACAAGTAGGTCTATAATGACAATGATACAGTAATCAAGATTCACCTTATAGGGGAATAACTTTAAAATAATAATAATAATAAAAAAAATTAATAATAATAATAATTAAAAATAGACAAATGATCCGTAAGGTTTTTTTTTTTTTTTTTTTTCCGTGTAATTTTGGTCTCCGCAAAATGTGTCAATTTGCTCCCCAATCTATTAATTTTTCACTAAATAACTCCTATCTCCATTTCCATCTATTGATATCTTCATCAAACCACTATGTACCATTGAATAAGATGGAAATTAAATTGACACAATTTGCAATATCAAAGATCAAAATGAAAAAAAATCACATATTTTAGCGACTATTTTTACTTATTTTGGTAAGTGTATTTTGACAAAAATACCCTTACTTTTATTATCAATCGTAGACGGAAGCACAAGTAGAAATTATTAGTAAACAAATTAATAGGCTGGGGACTAAATTGACACTTCCAAATATTGGAGACCAAAATGACATAATACACAAATTTTAACTATTTACATATTTAACCCAAAAAACATAACAATCACATTTTGGATATCATGTATTAGTCAAACATAACATAGCTGATCATAAAAAGGTGTAGTTTGTAAAAATTGTATAAAATTATTATACAGAATGATATGGCATAAATGTTCTTTTCATTTAAAAATATGATACCCATTATTAATTATGGTTATAATTTATAAGTATTTGGTTAGAATTTTTTTTGTCAAACACAAACGTAATGGGGTCTATAGAAATAAATACACATAGATTCATGTCTTTGTATCTAATGGTAAGAAAATGATATAAAAATTCAATTATATATAACATTTTCTTTTAAGAATATTAAAAAAACAACAACAACAACAAAATCAATCAATAACAAATATATCAACAAACATATTAACTGATATTATGTCTTGTTATTATGTTTGTTGGTATATTTACAATATTGTTAAAGAGAGGTGATTTAAACTGTGCTTGAATTAAGAATTTAAATAAAAAAATTATGGATAAAAAAGAAATTGAGTGGAATAAAAGCTACTCCTATTTTTTTATTGATTTTTCCCTTTTTCTTTTTTACTTCGCAAATTTATACACTCAAATAATTGATCCAAAGAGAGAGTTAGACAATGTAACTTCTTGTCAAATGACAAGATTACAACTCTAGGAGTCTGAATCAGTAAGCATTAGTATCTTTGCCAGTAAGTACTAGAAGTTTGGAGTGGGTATAAATTAGGATTCAAATCAAATTATAAAAAGCATGAGGTGGACTCAAATTTGTTTTTCAAAACATATAAATTAATAACCTCTATGGACTGTGTTTGTTTAGAGCATGTTTGATTATGCAAATTATAGGATATGATTAAGATTATTAATTCATGATATTCACATTCCATTATTTGATTGTAACTTTTGTTATCTAGATTGGATTTTGATAGACATTCTTGATAAACCACCTCAGCCATCATAGCTTGCTAAGTCATTTGAGTAACTAGAGTGTTAAGGATACTAACTCTATAGAGTTACTTACTCAGCTCAGCTCTAGTTCAGAACCTGCACCTGCACCTCATCAGTTTAGTCCTCAGCTCAATCAGTTCAAGAAGAAGAGTTCTATCAGCTCAATTTTACCATGCAACTCAACTGCTTTACTATCTACACCTATGGTGGTTAGAGAATCTGTTAGACAATTTGTTACTAGTTGTTAAGCTGTTAACACACGTGTAAAACAGTTAGATTAGTTAGTTAGGTTATTAGATACATATCTATTGTATATGAGAGGTTGTATAAATAAGTGATCAAGGATCACTGATATTTTCAAGAAATGAGAAACTGATATTTTCTACATGGTATCAGAGCTTACTTAGCTCTAACGAGCAAGATAACAATGGCTACTTCTTTATCTCTTTCATTTTCCATTCCATCAAATTTAACTCTTTTCATTTCGAATCTGTCTTCTTTTGTTACTGTAAAGTTAGATTCAACAAACTTCATCATTTGGAAGAGTCAGATCTCCAACATGCTTCGTGCTACGAATCTTTTAGGATATGTTGATGGTACAATCCCTTGTCCTTCATCTAAAATTGTTAATGACTCTGGTGTTGAATCTGAAAATCCAAAGTTTCTTCAATGGAGTTTAATCGATGCACATCTCTTAAATTGTTTCACTGCAACGTTATCTCCTTCCATTTATTCCATTGTTCTTCAGTTCCATCACTGTGTTGAGGTATGGTTTGCACTCAATAAGAAGTTCACTTCACTTTCCCGATCTCATGTACATCAACTCAAGAATAAGTTGAACTATGTTGTTAAGAAATCTGACTCAATGGAGGCTTATCTCTCAAAGATTCAAGAGATTGTTAATCAATTGGCTCTTGCATTAGTAGTTATTGATGATGAGGATCTTGTTTTGCTAATTTTGAATGGTCTGTTAGATGAGTTTGATGCATTTAAAACTACAATTAGAGCTAGATCTGATACTATTTCTATGGAAGAATTGTCTTCTCTTCTGTGTTCTAAAGCGATTCATATGGATGCAAAGACTAGGAAGTTGTCAGAGCCAACAGTTGCTTTTTCCTCAATCAAGCACAGTTTTTCACCACAATCTTTTACGCCATTTCAAACCAAAGGTCATAATTTTGGCTATTCCAGCGGTCGTAATTCTTTTCGGAATAACAAAGAAAGCAGATTTTATGAAGGCAATGGCAGATTTAGCACTAGTTCTGGTACTGGCAGA